ATTAACTTAAGATTAATTAAATGTAATGTAATGTGTGTAGGCTGTATACGCATAGGAATTTTTATAATTCATCTAAAAATATTTAGGATGAAGTATGTAGATTGTAATTATTTTAAACTTAAGATTAATAGCGTTTAATAGAATGCTCCAAAGTCCACGGTTTTAATCCTGTTTTTTTTTTAAATACCAACATTAAATTACCGTGAAATGGTAAGTTCGTCTGACTTGCTGCCCTCAACTCATGGCCACAATAGTTATGTTTAGATGTTTAGTTCAACCACCTTTACTGCCCACATTTATCACGCTCATTACATAACAACACTCAGGATCAAAAAAGAAAGCCGACAAGGTTCAAATGCTGTCATTGACGCATGACGTCAACAACATAAAATATGTTCGGACAATGCCTACTGAGGAGAGGCCGACCAGAGAATAGCCTACGGCAAAATTTGCCTAAATTTTTTTTATAGTTTAATTTTCTACCGCGTTTTTAACTAAATACGTAACAAAAGTTGAGATTGTTGTGTAAATTATATTAGAGTATATTTACTTACAATTGTTATAAACTATAATGCTTTTAACGTCTATAAATAATTTATGCTATAAAAAATACAACCCACAACAAGAAACATACAAAATTTTACAATTCCAAACAAATTTAAAAAATATTTCTAAAAATATTTTTTGTGACTTTTTTTCTGTGACTTTATTTCTGTGACTTTTTTTCCAAAAATTTTTTTCCACTGTGACTTTTTTTCTGTGACTTTTTTTCCTAGCAAAAACTGTGACTTTTTTTCTGTGTTTTTTTTTCCTGTGACTTTTTTTCCGTTTACCCTCAGTACACAACCCTAAACTTTGTAATCAACCCTAAACTTTGTAATCAACCCTAAACTTTGTAATCAACCCTAAACTTTGTAATCAACCCTAAACTTTGTAATCAACCCTAAACTTTGTAATCAACCCTAAACTTTGTAATCAACCCTAAACTTTGTAATCAACCCTAAACTTTGTAATCAACCCTAAACTTTGTAATCAACCCTAAACTTTGTAATCAACCCTAAACTTTGTAATCAACCCTAAACTTTGTAATCAACCCTAAACTTTGTAATCAACCCTATAACTTTGTAATCAACCCTAAACTTTGTAATCAACCCTAAACTTTGTAATCAACCCTAAACTTTGTAATCAACCCTAAACTTTGTAATCAACCCTAAACTTTGTAATCAACCCTAAACTTTGTAATCAACCCTAAACTTTGTAATCAACCCTAAACTTTGTAATCAACCCTAAACTTTGTAATCAACCCTAAACTTTGTAATCAACCCTAAACTTTGTAATCAACCCTAAACTTTGTAATCAACCCTAAACTTTGTAATCAACCCTAAACTTTGTAATCAACCCTAAACTTTGTAATCAACCCTAAACTTTGTAATCAACCCTAAACTTTGTAATCAACCCTAAACTTTGTAATCAACCCTAAACTTTGTAATCAACCCTAAACTATTTGACACAAATTTTTACCTAGACTCTAGACAAACGCTGTACCATTTGATGGGATCCGGACAAAAAGCCGACACGGACAAAATGCCGACACGGACAAAAGGCCGAAAAGACAAAAGGTTGACACGTGTCGTGTTATAAAACAAACAACTACAAGAACAGAGATGTTTAATTTTTATTGAAAACCAGTGACATAATGTTAAAGGTATATTACAAATTGAAACAATATGGCCTAGAATGACAAATAGTACGCGACGCCACGTAAAAAATTCAAGTCTAGTTCTGTTTTTCCTTTCTGCAATGACATTTGTTATCCTGTCCTCTTTCTGTAAATATAGGGATTTTTTTTCGTGTTTTCTTTTTTTTTTCTATGGCTCACCCAGCAATATCCATCTTATAAGGATTGCAACTAGCAACTAGCAACTAGCAACTAGCAACTAGCAACTGTCTTCTGGCCTTCCCATTTATTGCATGTGGACGATGATGCCGGCGGCTTTTGACTTTGTTCTTTGATGCTTCTCTCACCTCGATTGCATAGAAGGAGCTATGAAAAACAGCAGTGACCACATTTTGAAATATTTAAGTGTTGATCCTTTGTGTTTAAGACACTCCCGTAATCTCCAGTCGCTTGACCCGATGGTTCACCTTATAAAGATAGCAACTAGCACCGTCTCCTCTCTTGAACGTTTCACTTTTGTTTCATGCCTTATTTCAATGGTTGTCTAGATAGGAGCTATGTCGTACCCCAAAAAATGCGATATTAGTATCTTTTATGCTTGTCGGCCTTATGGTTTGCGGCCTTATGGTTGTCTGCCTAATGCTCACGTCCTTATGTCCTGTCGGCCTTATGTGCTGTCGGCCTTTTGGCTCTCTGTCTTATGGCTGTCAGCCTTATGTCCTGTTGGCCTTTCAGATGTCGGCCTTTTGTCCGTGTCGGCCTTTTGTCCGTGTCGGCCTTTTGTCCATGTCTGCCTTTTTCTGGTACACCTCCAGTTGACCCAACTTTCTCCCCAGATTCAAGCCATAAAAAAATTTTTGAACCACTTTCAATGGAATTACGTCACAGTTCTCTACTCGGACGATCTATACGGAGACTCAGCTTATCAGGTGAGTGTGTGTGGGGGGGGGGGGGGAGCTTATCAGGTGGGGGGGGGCAGTTTAAGATAATGGAAGTAGGAGGAGGCAGATAATGGGGGTAGGAGCGGGCAGATAATGGAAGTCGGAGCGGGCAGATAATGGAAGTAGGAGCGGGCAGATAATGGAAGTAGGAGCGGGCAGATAATGGAAGTAGGAGCGGGCAGATAATGGAAGTAGGAGCGGGCAGATAATGGAAGTAGGAGCGGGCAGATAATGGAAGTAGGAGCGGGCAGATAATGGAAGTAGGAGCGGGCAGATAATGGAAGTAGGAGCGGGCAGATAATGGAAGTAGGAGCGGGCAGATAATGGAAGTAGGAGCGGGCAGATAATGGAAGTAGGAGCGGGCAGATAATGGAAGTAGGAGTATGGTTCGAGCTAATGCAAAAAGTGACGAAACTGACTAAATGTTAAAACTGAGTATATGTTGAAACTGACTAAAGGTTGAAACTGACTAAATGATGAAAATGTCTAACTGATGAAAGTTTCTGTGCATCTAGTTACTTCGACAAGAGTTTGAAGCCCATTTTATTTGTCAAGCGCTCAGCCATAAATTCTCTAATTCCCAAACGTTATCTGATTACACAGATCTTGTTGAGGTGAGTACTGCGACAAGCTTTAAGGCTTAGCCGTCTCAATAATATGTTGATTAGAATTACTTATTACATAACAGCCGTCTCAATATGCTGATTAGAATTACTTATTACATAACAGCCGTACCAATAATATGTTGATTAGAATTACTTATAACATAACAGCCGTCTCTATATGTTGATTAGAATTACTTATAACATAACAGCCGTCTCTATATGTTGATTAGAATTACTTATTACATAACAGCCGTCTCAATAATATGTTGATTAGAATTACTTATTACATAACAGCCGGCTCTATATGTTGATTAGAATTACTTATTACATAACAGCCGTCTCTATATGTTGATTAGAATTACTTATTACATAACAGCCGTCTCAATAATATGTTGATTAGAATTACTTATTACATAACAGCCGTCTCAATATGTTGATTAGAATTACTTATTACATAACAGCCGTCTCAATAAGCCGATTGGATAGAATTACTTATTACATAACAGCCGTCTCAATATGCTGATTAGAATTACTTATTACATAACAGCCAACTCAATAAGCCGATTGGATAGAATTACTTATTACATAACAGCCGTCTCAATATGTTGATTAGAATTACTTATTACATAACAGCCGTCTCAATAAGCCGATTGGATAGAATTACTTATTACATAACAGCCGTCTCAATAATATGTTGATTAGATAGAATTAATCATTAAAAAAACAGCCGTCTTTCGCCATCGTTTTACAACTCCCAAGATGTTTACGTGACAAAAATTTGCTAGAAATTAGGGGAGGAGTGGGTGAAAAGTCACAGGGGTGAAAAGTCACAGCAAGTTTTTGCCTTGAAGAAATACTTTTTCATTCCTTCATTAATAAAATTATGGTTTTTAGTCGTTTACTCTGCTTGGAGTTCACTTCCTGTTTTAACTCTCTGAACCGGAACTGAGTTCAGAACATCATGTACTTGTTTTCATTGACAAAGTGGGAAATTTGATCAACAGAATCCTGTAAGTATGCTTGCATTTTTCATTATTTTTGTGTTTTCATGCAATGTTTTTTTGCTCAAACCAAAATAACGTCAGTCTGGATTGATTGTTTTTACTTATGAGAAATTGATTTGAAAGTGTGGATCATTTTGTAAGACAACCTCTTGCTGGGGTGAAATGTCACAGGCGAATGGACACTTTTTCTTTCGTCTAACTTGTCACCCCGGTCATTAAAAAAGAAGACTACTTGGTACAAAATATGCAAAATATTTTCTTTTCTTTTTTTCTTTCTTGAATTTCCAAATGATTAATGTCATTATATTTCCCTAGCATGTATACAGTGAATAAGATAATAATAAGCAAGTGTAGTAGTAGCAATAAATATATAATTTTACTCAGTAATAATAACCTTCATAGTCCAATCATTACATATGCAATCACTGAATTTTTTTGTGTTTAGATTGTATCTTTGAGTTTAGTCTAAGGCGTTCAACTTGTTTTTTTCTTTACAGAATCATGCCAAGACAATACAAGCGCAAGACAACACGAGGAACATTTCCGAAACATGCCGTTGAGATGGCAGTTGCAGCCCATTTTGAAGGAAAGTCGCTCCGTAAAGCTGCATCCGACTGTAGGGTTAATTATAAGACCCTCCAACTCTATGTAAAGCTGCACAAAACAGATGGCAACATTCAGAAGGCAACTGTTGGCTACAGTACGCAGAAGAAGCGCATCTTCTCAGATGAGCAAGAACAAGTTTTGCTGGACTACATCATTGAAGCCTCTTTAATCTACTATGGCCTAACTCTGAGAGAATTACGCAAACTAGCCTACGAAGTTGCTATCGTCAACACAAAAATATCTATGCCAGAATTCTAGTCCTCTGCGAAAACTGCAGGAGAGGATTGGCTGAAGGCATTCAGGCAACGTCACAAGGACAAGTTATCTCTGTGAAGTCCAGAGGCCACATCACTCAATCGCGTACAGGCATTAAATAAAACAACTGTCTACTTGTTCTTCGATAATCTGGAGAAAGTGATGGAGAAACATAAGTTTCGGCCAGAATACATCTGGAACATTGACGAAACTGGGTGTTCTACTGTACAAACTCATCAGCGACAACTAGCAAAGAAGGGCGAAAAATGTGTGGGCTCCATCGTGTCACATGAGAAAGGGAGCACCGTCACACTATGTGGAGCGGTAAATGCCATCGGAAATAGCATGCCACCATTCCTGATCTTCCCCAGAGTCAATGTTCAGAATCACTAGAATCTGGTGCCCCACCAGGAACACGATGCGATTCTCATCCAATGACATGGGGGGGGGGGGGGGATGACATCTGAGAACTTCATTAACTTTCTTCAGTTAACTGAAAGACAGCCTTTCTTTTCAATTTTAGTAGCCCTGTATTAATATCTTTGGCCACTGTCCTCTTTATGGCCCTGTGTTAATATCTTTGGCCAATGTCCTCTTTATGGCCCTGTGTTAATATCTTTGACTACATTCCTCTTTATGGCCCTGTGTTAATATCTTTGGCCACTGTCCTCTTTATGGCCCTGTGTTAATATCTTTGGCCAATGTCCTCTTTATGGCCCTGTGTTAATATCTTTGGCCACTGTCCTCTTTATGGCCCTGTGTTAATATCTTTGGCCACTGTCCTCTTTATGGCCCTGTGTTAATATCTTTGGCCACTGTCCTCTTTATGGCCCTGTGTTAATATCTTTGGCCAATGTCCTCTTTATGGCCCTGTGTTAATATCTTTGGCCACTGTCCTCTTTATGGCCCTGTGTTAATATCTTTGGCCACTGTCCTCTTTATGGCCCTGTGTTAATATCTTTGGCCAATGTCCTCTTTATGGCCCTGTGTTAATATCTTTGGCCACTGTCCTCTTTATGGCCCTGTGTTATGTCTGCGGCTCATCCCGTGTCACAATAAAACTATAATCTTTTACTGTTGCAATTCAATATTATGTTAATTTTGTAATAATAATCTGGTCCTCATTTACACACACACACACATATTATATATATATATATATATATATATATATATATATATATATATATATATATATATATATATATATATATATATAGGCAGTGGCGTAGCGAGGGGTGGGGGCGGGGGTGTGGACCGCACCGGGTGACACCATTTTGGGGATGACACCAAGGCAAAAAATAGCAAAATATATAGAGAAAAATGATAATTCCACTTATGTGATTAATTCGAGTGTTAAATAGTCTTTTAAGAGCAAATTTGACAAATCCCGACCAGGGTGGAGGGGGGGGGGATGCAAATCGAAAGGTCTGAGGGGGGTGCAAATCGAAAGTTTGAAGGGGGGTGGGGTGCAAATTGGAAATTGAAAGTTTGTCCCCGGGCGCATGGGAAGGGTCGCTACGCCTCTGGGGGTCGACATCATTAAGTGCCGCACCGGGTGATACCCGGCCTCGCTACGCCACTGTATGTAGGCATATATCATCTAAACATTCATTAATATTCATGATTGTTAAGGGAAATTATTTTCAATTGCATAAAAAAATGTTTTGTTTTAAGATCAAATAGATTCAACCATGTAACATTTGAATATATGTAACTTTTCACCTCAAGCAAGTGACTTTTTGACCCCGTAGTGGGATAAAATGTCACAATTCTAAATCACCATTTTGCAAGTCTGTCATGGGCATACCGTGAACAGCAATTCCAAACGGCGCTGTATACAGTTATCTGAAATGTGGAAAACGTATCGGGTGCATTGGCATTGTTAAAGGTTAACAATTCTTGTCTCCAGATCCTAAAGAGTGAAATTTGTGACTTTTCAACCCCTCCTCCCCTACATATACATTTTTCTAATGCCAAAAATCATATCTGATTGGTTTTACATTTGAATGTTTTTACTGTTAAAAGTTACATTTGAATGTTTTTACTGTTAAAAGTTACATTTGAATGTTTTTACTGTTAAAAGTTACATTTGAATGTTTTTACTGTTAAAAGTTACATCTAAATGTTTCTACCTCTAGAAACTGCAACGAAATGCCGAAAAATCCCGAGTAATCGTGACGTTTATCGAGCAGGATCAGTATGTGATCAGGTTACTGGAAGTCCTCCTGATGAATGGTGCGAGCAACCACTTCGTCTGGATGCTGGACACGGATTGGGATGACATAGTCACACACAACACCATCGAATTCTCTTACTCGGTAAGCATTTTTTTGTCCATGTGGAGTGTGGGTGTGGATGTGTGGGTGTGGACGTGTGGATATTGACGTGTGGGTGTGGACGTGTGGGTG